TGTAGTCGGATGTGGTTGGTTGGAGTTTGCGGTATGTGGTCGTGAGCCTGCGTGGGGGTGGCGGCGGTGCAATGTGTTATCGCATGTTTCCATGCATTATGTCACCGAAAAAGTTTCCAATTGGAGTAGGTGGGTGGACTTTAGGAGTGCAATAGCGCAGAGATGTAGGACGCGAGTAAGAGGCCTCTGCGTAGGCAGAGGTATCACTGCAAGTGTCTTTGCGATGTTCTGTAGTTGTATACATTCCTCCGTGCAAACCCACTGCACCCTGACGTTCCACCACGTCAGTAGTCCATCAGATAGCGCCGTGGATGGTGAGGAGTAGAGCAAGAGCTGACCACCATAGGCCAGCTCCGCTACCAAGTTTGACAGGGGTTGGGAGGCCCAACCAGCAGCTTCGCCTTAAGCGAAGCCCAGCTCCAGCTCTGTTATATCGTAGTAACGATAATCCCAGCAGTAGGTCGTCGCGAGAGCGACGGGCCATCTCAAGCGAAGGATGTGTTCGGTCTCGATGGCGAATGGTACACCTCGCGCTGAGGTGTAATCAGATTTGGGCGGCCGGCCGTTTGAGCACAAACGGCCGCGGACACACGCTCGTTACCTCTCGCCTGTATCCCAGCTCACTTTAGAGTTCGCGGCCACGAGCGGCTCGCTAACCCGGGTCAGCCAGAGGGGGTCTTCGCATGATCCTGCAGGATCCGGCGCTCTGGCTGACCCCCGTCTGCATTGACCCCCGTCTCAAGGCTCCCGAGATCCGCTGACACCCTCGACTCTGGCCCATTTGAGCGGCATGCATGGGCAAGCCCTGCGCAAAAGCAATCGCGAGACAGCGCGGCGACCTCCCCCACGAAGCCAGTATACGGGGAAGATTCGTGTCGTGACGACGCCTGCGATGATCTATGACGCCGCATGCAGCACATTTTTCTCATGGTAGAAACAGAAACACCGTTTGCGCAAACGGTCCGCATTGCCCTCACCCCGCACGCATGTCAACATTAGAAGGTTGCCTCTGCAATCGAGAAGACGCCTGCACCGTTGTAACTCGGAGTCGCAGTCTCCCAAAGGGCAGCGCGGTGAACGCATGCCTTCGAAGGCATGGATGCCTCGGTGTGGTCATCCTCTCCTAGCAACCCTCCGACGGCAAACCCCCCGCGCCCAAGGTGCTTGACGTAGAAATTCAAGTACAAGGTGCCCTTCTCAGTGCGCCCATGGGCGACTTTGAGTTCTACGCCCCCAAACTTTAACCACTGCGGATGCTCGTCGCGCGCACCCTCGGCTTGGAAATGGAGACCGTCGGTTCCCTTCGCCTCCACCCACGCACCTGTGATGTTCAGCTCGTGGAAATATATGTCTGCGCACTGCCCTCCAACTTGCCGCGCCTCAGCCTCCACGCGAAGCATTGCATTGGAACGCCTTCCACGGGGGATGTTAATCCGCCGACCCCTTGGTGTTCATCGGCGTGTGAGATGCTTCCACCTCCCCAAACCCCTCCCCCGGGAGCCGGATCTGGTCGATTTGGAGGGAGGGGGGTTCTACCAGGGCCGCCGTCGGCGGTGTGGCGTAAGCCCAATAATCAGAACATGCCTTCCTGGTTTCATCAAGTCGAACCGCTGGCCGAGAACGTTCTGAAGGTGGGGGTCGCCAGTGGCAGCCACGGCTGCGCCCGCTCCACCTGCCATCGGAGCTCCAGGAAGAAACGTCGGATGCGGCGTCGGCCAGCCCGGAGGATACGTCGGGCTGGGGGTCGGGCTGGGCGTCGGGAACGGCGTCGGGAAGCCGGTTGGGAAGAGAGTCGGGAAAGCTGTCGGAAACGGCGTCGGGAAGGCCGTCGGGAAGGGCGTCGGAAATGGCGTCGGGAAAGACGTCGGGAACGCCGTCGGGTAGGGCGTCGGAAATGGCGTCGGGAAAGACGTCGGGTAGGGCGTCGGGTAGGGCGTCGGAAACGGTGTCGGGTAGGGCGTCGGGTAGGGCGTCGGGTAGGGCGTCGGGTAGGGCGTCGGGTAGGGCGTCGGGTTCGGCGTCGGGTTCGGCGTCGGGTTCGGCGTCGGGTTTGGCGTCGGGTAGGGCGTCGGGTAGGGCGTCGGGTTCGGGTGGCGTCGGATTCGGCGTCGGGTTTGGCGTCGGGTAGGGCGTCGGGTAGGGCGTCGGGTAGGACGTCGGGCTTGGCGTCGCGGTGGTAACTTTCAGGCTCGCGCCAGCATCGACGTAAAGACAGTGCCCGCCTCCCCATCCAACGTTGTAAGACAGCGCTACTTGACTGCCAGATGCCGAGGGCGCGGGCAATGTCCAGGTGAACGAAAACGCCGATCTGGAATGAGGTGCCACACCATAGTTATACGACTCCGACCCCACCACAACACGGATGTAGCCTTTGTAGCCCCCCCAGCCCTGGTCTCTCCAATGACCACTCATTTGGATCGTCGTGATTGGCTCGGTAATTGTCGCCGAGGTCCACCAACTATTCCAACCGCAAGTGCAGCAATGGCTGACTCCTCCAAGACTGTAAGTTTGGTAGCCAGCTGAACGCTGCGCGGGCATCCCGCTCACTTCCTGCACTTCATGCACCTCCTTCATACTGTCACTAGTGCGCGAAGCGTTGTGCGGGTCGACATCGCGATGGACGCCCTCGCTCACCATCATGGAAGTCGCGGTTGATACGCCCTGAACCAGTAGCGCCACGTACACGATCCATGGTGCACTCCTGGTCGCCGCCATCCCAACTGCCGGAGGTCCGAGTGAGAGGGAACTGCGCAGGTCCAGTCTCAAAGGATGGTGTGTGCACGCACGTGAAATAGCGACAATGGCTACGGTCTGACGCCGCATTGCATCACTCAACCTTGACGATCGCGGCTCTCCGATCGCCAGATCGCTTCATGCTGGCCGATGATGGGCAAGTGGCGGCGTTCAAGCTTGACCGCCCGTGCCGGGGGTGCCTCCGAGTCGCCTTGGCATGAAAGCGGGTCCTGAGTCCTGAATGATTGGCCTTCCCCCAGGACCAGCTCTCCGTCTTTTTTTTGCAAAAAATATAGGAACAAAAAGCAGGAGGGCCCCTGTGAGCATGCCTGGGTGGCGGCATTCGAGCCCCAACCCCACCAACCATCGATGCTCCTAAATCGATGGGAGGCGGGGGTAGTAGGGTTCGGATTTCACCACGTGCTTGACGAATTCCGAACCCTACCCCCGCCGCCCGTCGAGTTGCCTGAATCGTCGATCGGTACGGCTGCTCTCCGGGCGCAGAGCCCGCCTCTCTCCCTTGGCGGTTCTGCAGGGCCCAGGGAGGGCCCCGGGTGCCCCCAGACGACAGAGAAACCCCTCCAGCGCCATCTCTTGCCTCAGGACACCTCTGCGCGACCGAGGTTCGCGGAACAAGTACTGAAGGAGGCCCGTCTGACCACGGCGAGCCTCGACCACGAAGAAGCTCCCCGACCTGGATCCAAGAAGCTCCCCGATCCTGGATCCAAGCCGAAGCCGCCGAGGTTGTCGAGCGCCGACCCGAGAAGATCGGCCTGGAGCTACGGAAGTGGTCTGCTTTTTGACCGGCCGGATCGAACTCGGCTGCGACGCAACCGAACCGACCGACCCCGCTGACACCCTCGACTCCGGCCCATTTGAGCGGCATGCATGGGCAAGCCCTGCGCAAAAGCCCTCGCCAGACAGCGCGGCGACTTCCCCCACGAAGCCAGTATACGGGGAAGATTCGTGTCGTGACGACGCCTGCGTTGATCTATGACGCCGCATGCGGCACATTTTTCTCATGGTAGAAACAGAAACACCGTTTGCGCAAACGGTGCGCATTGCCCTCACCCCGCACGCATGTCAACACTAGAAGGTTGCCTCTGCAATCGAGAAGACGCCTGCACCGTTGAAACTCGGAGTCGCAGCCTCCCAAAGGGCAGCGCGGTGAACGCGTGCCTTCGAAGGCATGGATGCCTCGGTGTGGTCATCCTCCCCTATAGCAACCCTCCGACGGCGAACCCACGGCGCCCAAGGTGCTTGACGTAGAAATTCAAGTACAAGGCGCCCTGCTCAGTGCGCCCATGGGCGACTTTGAGTTCTACGCCCACGATGGCCTCCAAGACGGCCCTGGAGCATTCCAAGGGGGCCCCAAGTCGGCTCAGAGAGGCCCCCCAAAGGGCTTCCGACGGCGTCGGACGGGCCAGGGGCCCACCAAGACGGCCGAAGATGGCCCTAAGATGGCCCAAGAGACTAAGAAAAAAAAACAGAGACTGAAGATGACCGCGGGCTGGCCGGCAAGGCCGGCAGGGCCGGCAAGGCCGGCAAGGCCGGCAGGGCCGGCAGGGCCGGCAAGGCCGGCAGGGCCGGTAATACTAAGGCCGGCAGGGCCGGCAAGGCCGGCAGGGCCGGCAAGGCCGGCAAGGCCGGCAGGGCCGGCAGGGCCGGCAGGGCCGGCCAGGCCGGCAAGGCCGGCAGGGCCGGCAGGGCCGGCAGGGCCGGCAGGGCCGGCAGGGCCGGCAGAGCAAGAGCCAGCAGGGCCCTGCCGGCCCTGCCAGCCCTGCCGGCCCTGCCAGCCCTGCCGGCCCTGCCGGCCCTGCCGGCCCTGCCGGCCCTGCCTGCCCTGCCTGCCCTGCCGGCCCTGCCGGCCCTGCCGGCGATGCCAGTCCTCCTGCTGGCCCTGCCGGTTCTGCTGCAGCTCTGCTGGACCTGCCGGCTCTGCCAGCCCTGCCGGCCTTGCCGGGACTGCCGGCCTTGCTGGCCCTGCTGGCCCTGCCGGCCCTGCCAGCCCTGCCGGCTCTCTCCCCCCTGCCAGCCTTGCCGGCCTTGCCGGCTCTGCCGGCCTTGCCGTCCTTGTCGGCCCTGTCGGCTCCGCTGGCTTTGGCAGTTCTGACGGCTCTGCTTGGAGGACGGGGATGAGGAGGAGGAAGGGGTCTGAGCAGGAAGGGGGGAGGGGGAGGAGGATGCAGGGGGTAAGAGGCGGAGGAGGAGGAAGAAGATAAGGGAGGAGTCATGCTCCCATCCACGACGAGGAGGAGGCAAGGTTTTTGGAAGAAGGATGACAAGCAAAAGTGCGCGACCTTTTCCCAAAGGGCTGCCGAAATTACAATGGTGATTGGAATGTCGTGCTATGCGAAGTTGTGTTCTGCAGCGGTGGCGCGCGCCCATCTCTCGCGGCACGAAATTAATATGAAGACAGTATGTGACGACGATGCACTGGAGCGGTTTGCCATCACATGGACAAGTCATATTTACTAGCGTGGACCTCAAACGGTGAATTACCGCAGTCTGGATGTGTCATATACGAAGCGCAATCCAAGTGGTGCTAAAGTTTGCGGCATAGGTTGCGCCCGGAACGTCGCTCTGAACGCGGCGGAATTTCGTTGGACCCGTCGAAGAGGATGCGCCATAGGTTGCGCCAAAAGTTGCGTCTGGAAGGTGGCGGAACATCGCCGCACTCGTCGAATAGATCGTGCCATAGCTTGCGCCCAGAAGGTGGCGCAACCTTGCAGGATCCATCCAAATTCTTAGCAGCACAAGTAGGACTTCACTGAAGGCAAACACTGTTTGGCGAATGTAATTTGATGTGGGGTTCCGCGAGGTCTTCGGCTCTAACGCACAGTTGCGCTAGCGAGTCATACGCAATGCTGTAAACATATTGGCTCAAAGGAGACGGTTCTCATTTCGCGGCGTCCAACGAACCCACGTGTCCACATCCTTGCATTCATGGTGTCGCCTTTCAGGGTTACCGGCGTGGAAGAGTTGCGACGCTTGGTGCATGGGGGAGATGAGGCCCACAACGAGACTGCGCAGACATGCGAATCCTCGATGCCTTTACCCATGGGCCCTCAGCCGCCAGCGCGCCGGAAGGGTCGCAAGAGGATGGCAATTGCCAAGGAGTCTGCTTTGCCAGAGCGCCGGGGCAGGCACATGACTGGCGGTGCTTTGATGAAGGCGCCGCGGTTGCTACCGCGCCTGGGCAGGGTGAACGTCAGAGAACGCGCTGGCCATCAGATGTCGAACCCCTTGCTCGCCAGACTGCCTCGCTCCAAGCGCGCCATGAAGATGCTTGCGCTGGTCAAGGGGGGGGCCGCCAAAGTGATCAACCACCATTTCGGAACAAGATTGCTTCAACTTAGGAACAAGATGCGATTCGCAATATGAGGCGACGCACGCCTGGCGTTGAGCGGGGCGGAGCCGGAGCAGCGCCTTCTGCACCTGCGCTGGACAGGTCGGCTAGCTGCGTCAAGTGGGCGGGGCTAGAAGTGCCGCTGGCGTTTCCTCCTGCCTGCATTTGCGGCTGCGCACGCTTTGCGCCGATATCACTTGGACGGTGCGGCCCTACAACTGTTCTCGATGCCACCCGTGTCCATCTGGTTCTTCGGCAAGACGTCCGACGCTTGGGGTGTGGTAAGAAAAAGTACTGCGGTGATGAGGACGTCAGACGCCACTTCGAGGCCAATGGGGCATTCCCTGCCCGCGCCGCTGCCCAGACGAACTCCAGTGCAAGGAAATTTCGCGGACATGGTAGCGGTCGTAAAACGGTCTGGCACACCGTTCCTTTCATTGCCACGTTGTATCAGAGTTTGCGGCAGACTCGCAGCTTAGAGTCGGTCCGCACGGCATACATGAGCAGATTGCAAGGGCGTGCGATGGGCAGCGCGCACCTGGAACCCCACGGCGCGCTAGTATTGCAATACTGGTTGTCCTTTGCGCCTGCCTCGGCGACGCTGCGGGGCCTGGCGCGCGACTTCCACCGGCTGCGGGTGGCGCCGCAAGTACTGGAGCTACGCAAGTGCGTGGCCAAGAGAACAAGGGTGCATAAGGCCGACGGGCATCGCAAGGCCGCAAAACGCGTCAGGGATTCCCAGCCTGCTGCGCCCAAGACCGCCGTCTTACCAATTCTAAACGAGGAGGGGTGCTTGGTCGGGCCGCCTCTTCGCGTGGCCAACGAAGGGCGCGAAGGATTCGCCCGGGGTTTGAAAGAGAACCTGGACATCCACGTGGAGGCCAATGCCCAATCTCCCGACAGAGGGGCTCTACTTGCTTTCGGGACGGATGATTACAGGCACCACAAATATATGCTGGGCGAGCTTTGGTTGCAACGCTGGGGGGACCAGGCGCCCTGCAAGGGCGTTGCTTGTCCGGAGGCTCGGATCGACGCTTTGGAGCGCGAGGTTCGGAATGGGCGGCCTGGCTTTCTGGTGTTCCAAGACGTGAAGCACTTGGATTTCGACCTCGCGCACCACGCGCCGAAAGCTTCCACGTCTTCCCCATTGCTGCATGGGGCGTTCGCAGCCGCTCAGGCCCGCTTCAGCGCGCCTTCGCGGTCTGACTTCCAGGGCATTTCAGTTCCAGCGAGGCGCCCTCCGCAGGCTCCCCTGCCAGAGGTTGCGCGCCCAATTCTGCTGAACGCCGCCACGTTGAGCCACAGGGCGCTCAAGACGTGGAGGGCCACCGATGGAAAAGCGGCGCACGAGCTGGGAATTGCGCATGCGCAGGCTTTCATTCGACATCCAAGTGTCTTGTTCACCAAGCGATGGTTGGATATTTTTCCCTGTGTGCCTCCGTGGGGGGAGATAGAGCGCATCTCCCACGAATTGTCAACGGAGCTCCACGTTGACGCCATGCCGTGGCATTACAACGACGAGGCTGAATACCTGGCCGAAGTGGTGAAGGTGAAGGACTGGTTCACGCAGGTATTGCCCGGCACTCGACGCAACGTCGGCATCGCTCGCGAGAGAGAAGGCGAGCCGGCAACGCCGAATCCCGTAGGGGCCCCGCATCCTTGCGTGACACCTGCCATTCTGGAATTATTCCAGCGACGCGAGGACAAGACTTACTTGCAGGGTTGTGCCAACTGGTCCTACCTGTGTCGGTGCGCCCGCGCGGTGGGCTTGGAGCTGGCGAGCGGAACCACGGACCTAGATGTTTTGTGCAGCGAGATCATCAGTATTTTCAGGGCTGGTCAGATCACCAAGCTAGGGGACGAGCTATTCCGGATGCACATGGACATGTTGTTCCTGCGCCTGGCGCGCCGCCGTTCGCATGCCGCTCTTCAAACCGTTTTGGCTCACGGCAAAGATAAGGCCACTCAGGAAATCGCAATCATGGTGGAGACTTTGCGGTGGTTCGAGGAAGCAGATGCTAAAGAGTTGGCGCGGCTGCGGCAGGGCGACCTCGACGACTTGCGCAAGGCCATTCCCAGGAAACTTGCGAGGAAGCCGCCGCGCAAGAGGAAGTAGACGCACTGTTCGGGCGCACTTGCGCCCGCGTCCCAGCGCGCGCCGGGGCGCGCCCAGGCTCGGCCTAGAGCGCGCCGCTTCACCAAGACAAAAATGATGCGAACAGTCGCCCTCGCGCCACTAGGCGCGGGATTCAGTGGCCCCGTCGGTTGCCCGCCGAGATTTTTCCCAGAAATATGCAGCAAGGGCTTCGCCGTGGCGGCCCTGGCCAACCGCCCCCTGCGTTCTGCGACGGGGCCCGAGCGAGCGAGGGCCGCTGCCGCATCCGCTTCAGAAATCGACGCTCAGTTCCCGCTCGCGCCCCTGCGAGGGGGGTCCATCGATCAGGGGGCGCTCCGCATCTCTTCCTGCGAGTTGGCGTTTGGATGGGCCCCCGGGGCCCATCCAGACGAGTTGGCGTTTGGATGGGCCCCCGGGGCCCATCCGAACGCCGACCGCGCCCCGGCGGGGGCAGTGGCGGGGGGCGCCCCTGCGTCGATTTCTGCGGGCTGGCGTTTGGGTGGGCCCGTAGGGCCCATCCAGACGCCGATCGCGCTCCTGCGGGGGAAGTCCAGCGAGCGGGGGGCGCGCCCGCGCCGATTTCTGCGAGTTGGCGCTTGGGCGGCACCCTAGGGCCCATCCAGACGCCGCTCGCACCCTCGCCGAGCAGTTCCAGCGAGCGGGGGGCGCCGCCGCGTCGATTTCCGCGGGTTGGCGCGTGGGCGGCCCCCTTGGGTCCATCCAGATGCCGCTCGCGCCCTTGCTGGGGAGCTGCAGCGAAATGGGGGCGTTCCCGCGTCGATTTCTGCAAGTTGGCGCTTGGCCAAGGCCCAGGGCCCAGGGGCCCATCCAGGTGCTGCTCGCATCGTTTCAAGGAAGCTCCAGCGAGCGGGAGGCCTCCGCATTGGATTCAGTGAGTTGGCGCCTGGATAGGGCTCCAAGGCCCCGGCCAAACGCCGCTCGCGACATTGCCGGGGAGCTCCAGATTGCCATCCGGTCGGCAATAGATGGCCTTCGGCCCCCGAGCCAGTGCCCAGAGAGCTCCAGGGCATGCGGGAGAGCCCGCGAGGGCTCGAGACATCCCAGAAGGGCCCAACGCGGCCCCGACCCGGCTCTCATATAGGCCGCAAAGGGGGTCCGCAGCCAAAGCGGCTAGGGATATCCCAGTCTAGCGTCGAGCCGGCGCCCGGAGAGATCAGCAGGGCATGCGGGGGGGGGCCCAAACGGCCCGCGAGGGCCTGAGACATCCCAGGTGGGTCCAATATGACCCAACACATGACCCCTTTGCGGTTCGCTACAGGGCCTAACCAGCATCTTTCCGTGGACCCGCGTTCATTTAGCGGGGCGAGCGCTGGGCGAATAGATCGGCGCCCCGCTCTCGCGGCGCGCGCGGCCCCCTCGTCGGGGTTCCGCTCGCCCGACCTCGCCCGCCTATGACGCGGGCCGGCCGTCCGGCCCGCCCCGCAGTTCACCCTCGTTTCTCTCTCTCTCTCTCTCTCTCTCTCTCTCTCTCTCTCTCTCTCGTGTGTCTTTGTTTTGTTTCTCTCTCTCTCTCTCTCTCACTCTCTCTCTCTCTCTCTCTCTCTCTCTCTCTTTTTTTTTCTCTCTCTCTCTCTCTCTCTCTCTCTCTCTCTCTCTCTCTCTCTCTCTCCTCTCTTGCGACGCATCTGGCTCAAGCCTCCTGGTCCGTGCAGCGAGCTTCCGGGGATGACCGGGCACGATGAGCTTGCGCTGCGCGACCGCGAGCCACGGCTGCTTGTGCGCCAGGAAGCCTTCGAACAGAGCGCCTTCGACAGGTTGGAGGTGCTGCGCCAGGCGGCGTCCGCAGCGGCGCCACCCGCCGGGGGCGCAGGCGCCGCGTTCGATCGTCGCCAGGACTGGGTGCGACGACAAAGGCGGATAGCCCAGGGACGAGCGTTGCACGTATTCGCCCGGGACCTTCGTCGACAACTGAACGAATGGGGCCTTTGGATACATGGATCGCCCCCCCTTTGGCCATTCGCCCATGTCGTCGCCGCCGACAGGACCCCGTGGCCGACATTCTGGGCCACTTCGCACTGCGCC